CTACGTGATGTTATTGATGTCTGTGACTTACAGTTAACATCTTTATTGGTACATTGCCACTACCGAGTATACAGAGTTCTATGTAAAACACTAGCAACCACGCAGGACTGTATTTCTAGCATCGTAAACAACAACTTTTGTTCTATGACTTTTACTAATTCATCTGATTTTACTTTCGCTCAAAAAAAAAGTTACGTTCTAAACGGTGATAACTCCGTGCGGTAACGAAAGATAGCGCTAGAGCGCAAATACCAGTCCGATGTAAAACGCAGGAGCGGTGGTAGGGAACGTCGTCGGGGAAGACGGTGGCACATTTGAACTAACTACTATACTACCAAATACAGATTAAAAAAATGCCAGATAGTACAAACAAAAATGTAACGTTTATTTTTGGTAAATTAATAAATATATAATATATAATAATATTTTGAGAAAACTTTTGAAAAAATTAAGGCACATAGTGTTTATGAAATTAGTGTAATACTAACAAACGCTCTTCATTGAACACAATAATCTAAATTAATAGACAAACAATAGTGACTATTGAATCTATTGAATTGGTGAATCTAGTTATTACTCTCTTCATTCAAATTCTGTCACATAATTTTCCAATCTTTAGTTATAGAAAAAGGGTTTTTCCACAAGAACTTTGTTTTGACTTGTGCCGTTGGCATTGGGCCGTTTTATTTCGAAAATGCAGGTAGGGACAATGGATTACGCTATCGAGAGATGTTAACAACTCAATTTTGGCCTATCTTTGATGATATGGACGTCACTAATATATGGTTTCAACAAGACGGTGCCACAAGTCACACAGCCACCGAAACAATGAATTTATTGCAAACCAAATTTCCCGATCGCATAATTTCCCGAAATTCAGCCGTTAAGTGGCCATCTCAATCATGTGATTTAACACCGCTGGATTATTTTTTATGGGGTTATGTTAAAGACAGAGTCTATACGGAGCCAATCGAAGCGATTGCAGCCTTAAAACTCAAAATTCGTGAAGTGATTAACTAAATACCTTTTTGCCAAAAAGTGATTAAAAACTTCCATGAAACAATCGACATCTGTAACTGTGGTCGTGGTGGACATTTATCAGATATCCTTAGACATCATTTTTCATTGTTATTTGCCAAACCTTACTTTTTTTAATACAATTAAAATTTTAATCATTGTCATCTTAATTTATTGTTTTGTTTTGATTTACAAAACAACGTTCTTGTTGAAAACCCCTATATAACAAGGTATCCTTAGATGAAAAAGAGTAAGTCTAAAGTCTTTGTAAAAGAGTTCTCCTGTAACCGTTTTCGTAATCACGCATACCTATTTGTTTTTATGTTGCAATAAAAAGGGAGTTTTTTTTAATTAACTCTTTTTAAACAAGAAGGGATGCCATTTATGAGTTCAGAAACTCTTTGTTACGGTTAATTGCACGACGAAACTCATTATAAAACATTTATTTAGGTTTATTAAAGATTTGTTTACTTATTTGGTATTATTTTAAATAAAAAATCTTGTTGCAAAAAGTACTAAAAACATGGGATATAATAAAGGTTCCGAAAAACAAATGAAATTGCCGTGAACTGTGGCTAATTCCTTTTTTTTTGTATAATATCTAGTGATGGAACTAACAAGTCATGCGCCTGATGGTAAGCTACAAGCTTGTCCATAACAGTTGCAGTGCCAGTCAGAGCTTTAAATTCGTAAAGATCTGAAGGGGCTGCCACGGCGCCAGTCACGACAAGACATAAGTTGACAAGTCCCATGGGCATGTAATTTCACTAGCACCCTTACCCTTCAAAACCGGAACGCATTAATGCTCATATTACTGCTTGGCGGCAGAAATAGGTAGCAAGGTAGCAGTACTTTTCTGGACTTATACTATGTAAGCTGCGTTAAAATGAGTTACAGAGAAAAAAAGACGTAATATACGATAAAAATCGCGTATATTTGTTTCCTCGAACAAACCAATGATTCGGGCCCTTTACGAGTACGTGCCATGTTCACGGCTAACTATCCAACAACACGAGAGTTGGCGACAAAAGTCAAAACTAACGCTATCACTTTACGGTCCAAACAGTAACTAGTCGAGTTATTATAATACCCGTTGGAAATGTAGTATATATTACCTCTATCTTTGGCTTAATTGGACAAAATAGCAAAAGGTATTTAATAAACCATAAATCAAGTATTACCTGTACATGGTTGATCGATTAAGTGAACGGAGGCTCGTTAATTACAAACACACCATTATGGTACCGATTAACGCCTGAAATTGTTAATAGCAATTAGTTACGACGGTTTGCCATTGATGAATGAATGTTGTTTGCAAGTAGGCGTTATGTATTGAGGTTTGTGGTAACTAAAATAATTTGGTAACAGTTGTGAGCAAAAGGAAATACTTTTAAAACTCATTAAAACTACGTTTTTGGGGTAATCTCAAGTTATACTACATCTACTATTGTTTGATTTAGTATTGTTAGTTTCTATAGGCGGCAAAGGCGGCGGTACCATATTTCCATCAAGTGGATGGTTAGTATTCCATTAAAAATATCTTAACCTTAGAGGGAACCCTTGACATTTTTCAATTTGAGTACCCTCGCTTCTCAAAGTGTTATCAATATTCTAGCAATCTAACATAGTGATCCCTAGTGAGTACTTTGAGCTAAATAAATATGGTCCTTTAATATGTAATTGGAAAATAACGAATAAGTATCTAAAGTTGATGACCTCGATGGTCCAGTGGTTAGCATGCGTGCGTTACATGATGAGGTCAAGGGTTTGAATGATATAGGCCTCATTTGCTAAACAATCTTTTCTAAATTGGTTCTGGTTTTGGCATTCTGGATAATACCCAGAGTTATTATGTAATAATAATAATAATGTGGCAGGCAATCACATCATTTTTTAAAGTTCTTTCGCTTCTTATGACTACCAGGCTTTTGGTAGTGTGAGATATAGTAAATGGTGTTAAAATTTCTAAATGTCAAAGAAAGTGAAAGGGTTGTAAACCTAACAAGCCGTGACCAGGTTCACGGCAGTAAAACAGAAAACTTCCGGTCCACAAATTTATTTAATGTCTAGTTAAGAAGTAATGATAACAAACAATAAGGAGTAAGGCGTAAGAAGTAATGGTAAAGCTGTAACAATAAAAAGGTATATATAGAAAAACAGGCGCATTAATATAAAAACAATCCCTAACTTGATGGATATAAAGAGTTATCAAGTAGACACTTACGAGTACCCCTAAAACGGCCGAGTTATACTGAATCACAGATACGTATTCATATGTACATGATTAGGCTGTAGACTGTTATGTATACACTTATTACAATTCACACATGATTTAGATTATATTATAATGATTATAACTTAGTAAAAGAATCAAAATTAGACGATTGAATTTAAACAGCACCGTCCGCTGTCGCGATCGAGCAGGGAGTGACGATGGAACGGAACTAAATCAGAATGTGAGGCAACCTCACAAAGGTAGGAGTCGCAGTATAGCTTCTTTTAAAAGAGCTCGTCCAGGTAAGTAATGCCATCTTACCTATTTTGAATGAATGAGAATGAGAATGAGAGCCTTACTGCGTTCCAGTTTTGCAGGGTAAGGGTGCTGAACTTTACAGGCGACTTGTCAACTTATAACTCAGGGTGATGGGCGCAGTGACAATGCCCCTGTAACTGCTATGGACAGGCGTCTCTGACCACCAGGCGTACCGTTCCGTCACTTGGTATCATAAAAAAGGTGGTAAATGGTATTTCTATAAACTGACTCCGTGGCCGAACGGTTATCATGCCGGACTGCCACGCAGAGGTCCCAGGTTGGATTCCCGGGCCGGGAGAAATACTTGTATGGTCTACATTTATTTCTCTCGTGAGTTTGGGTGTAATTTGTGGTTGTCTATGTGTGTGTCCATGGCAGTCGTGACTCAGGGTTTCTCTAGTGAGGAATCCCGCACATGTTGAGTGTGTGCGTTATTATTAAGTGTATGAATTCAAACCATATATGTCACATTGTTGAGCATCAAACTCCTCTAAAAAGAGTATTTAGGTCATAGTCCACAACGTCAGCCTTAAATAGGCATCGCATATCTTCGAAAAGTTTCATAAGCCTCCGTCACACAGGATTCATTACGTTGTTTGCCTTCCCGGTTAAGGCTAGGAAGTATCTCTTTTATGATACGAAGTGATGGGACGCTTGTGGTAAGCAACGTAGCTGTCCATAACAGTTGCAGTGCCACTCAGACCTTTAAACCACAAAGATCTGAGGGGCACTGCCACTGTGCCGGTTTCCCTGATACGTAAGTTGACAAACCAGACGTGCGTGTAATTTCACCAGCACCCTGTTCGTTCAAAACCGAAAAGTAGTGATGCTCACATTGCAGCTTGACGGCAGAAATAGGTAAGGTGGCAATACTTTCCTAGATGAACACTTTCGTCTACAAGGAGCGCTACTGTTGTTAAATTACACATTATCGGAAATCACTGTGTGGTTTAAGTCCCCCGGAGGGAATTGAACTCAGGTCTTCTGTATGAGAGGTAAGCATTCTCCCAGCAAGGCTTTAAAGATATAAAAAAGAAATTAGCTATTAAAAATCAAACTTTCGTATGGAATTTACACGACCTTCACATTTCGTATTCATATTGAATCACAATAGAAACAATACGTACCGAGGTCTATTAAAACGGTGTCATCATGTTTGTTTATTATTAACATACACAATCATCAGATAAAATGGACAATTGTGACAGTTTTCCCCAAAAAGTTAACGTGAGATAATTTCCATGCGGAGAGTCGAATGTATAAAAAAATCTATAAAAAACCAAAGACTATAAAAAAATCTCATTCAAACAATTCTAAATATAGGAAAAGTAATGACTTTAAAAACTTAATTAATGTACACTTTAACGCATGAAATTACGTACTCTCTATTTTGCTTTGGTCTTACTTACATTAATGTATTGGCTGAAAATTTGATGTTTTAATTGGAAAAAAAGGCAAATAAAAAATGTTAAAAATATCAATATTGATGGTAGGTACTACAAAGATATATGCTTATCCTTATTTTGGTTTCATTGTAAAATAATGTCTGATCTGAGTCTTAGGCTATTCATCTCATATTAAGATTTTCTTGTTTCACTGTCATATCAGTTTAATTTATGCCTGATATTTATAAATTAACAATTGTGTTCCGTTTATTTTGATTAATTGATTATTTCAGATATACTTACTAAGCCCAGATAAAGGAATTTCAAGGGTATCAAAATTTAGTATATACAAACAGAAAACAGACCTGAAAAGAAATCCAACGACGAAAACGCCACCTGAATATACCGGACCACCAATTTTAAATGTCAATTGGAAAGGCCACCCAAACTTACCGGAAGAAGTAAACAACGCTGAGATTTTAAAGGAAATTATGCAAAAAGTAGCTGAATATAAACGTTATGAATACTGTCCTTTTAGTAAGAAGGTGGATGATTGTGAAAGTAGGTCTGTAAGTGAAATTGTTGACAGAATTATTGATATTGTACTACATCCTACCGAGCCACCTACGGAGCCACCCACCCCGGTGAACACTGAACCACCTCGTGGTGAAAATAACGAGGAAGATAACGAAGAAGAGAAGGATAATGACGAGACCGAAGGGGCCACAGAAACTGAAGAGAACGAAGGGACAGATGGAGAAGTTAATACTACGGCTACTACGACAGAAGAGGGGCAAGAAAGCAGCACAGTTGAAGCAGCTTCAGAAGACAGTGAAGGAGAACCAGCCGAAACTCCAGCTAAATAACCAACTGAAGAACAATGCGACAATAATTTGAAAATATAAAATTTTGAAATTCTACCATATATATTTTCTGGTCGCTGTGTTAGACAAAATTTATTAAATCGTAAGTATTTGGATAGTGATAAAAGTGTGTGATAAAAGAAACCATAATGATGTAATAACGATGATGTCACAATAGTGAACCAAGCAGCGAATTGTTAAATGCCTCCATGACGTGTTCAGGTCGAACATAAGTCTAAGAACGCACGTTTACAATTAATTATAATTGAAAATATTAATTATGCAAGTTTCATTCGCATATTTAGAAATCTCCAAGTACGAGGGCCGCATTATTAGTGTCGATTTTACCTATGTTAGTTATTTACCCAAAAGCTCACTTTACTTGATTGATGATGTTTTAAATATGAATTAAAGCTAGAAGCGGATAGACCATTGAAATTAACCAATCGTGCAAATTTATTGACAGGCTTCCTACAAGTTTAGAGTGTAATATTATTTTGATCTAACCATCAGTTACAGTATTGAAACGATAATGGAATATACTAGACAAATAGTATCGCTTAGGTAGTTCAAGATATCGTTAACATTAAATCTTGATTATAGCCGAGAAAACTTAGTAAACTTAATAGACCAACAAAGTGAGACACGATTCGCCTACATACCTTACCCAATAGCATCAAAGACGTATTTGTCGTGAGAAAATCAAATATATAGACATACGGAACACATTTTGGGTAACGTACGTGACCCGAGTTCCGTCTCAATGAAAGTTAAGGTCGTTGAGAAAGAAAAGTGGAAGAAAACTGTCCTTAGCAGGTAATGGTGTGCCATTATTACTTAAGAAGCATTTTTCTGTACGTAGGTGAAACAACTTCAAATAAGTTAGCTGTTATCATCGAGTATACAGGCTGTATATTTGAAAGTGGGACATAGTTCTAGAGTGCGTTATATTCCTGATTCTGAACCCAAAGAAATAATAAACTAATGAATTTGAACTTTACAAAAAATATTTATTATCTTTTTTTATCAACTACTACTTGAGAACAACATTAGTTATCAAAATCTATGCACATCACTATTATTGCTCCGACGCAGCGGCGAAAAACAAAGCACAGGTTGGGGTGGGGGCGCGGGCGCATACGCGAAATTGCTGTTTGCAACTTCAGACAGTGCACGCGCAACCTTGATCTAACGAAGACGCTTACATTATTTGTGCTTCCGCTCGCCCGATCGCCGCAAAATGAATATTTATTCTAACGTCGAATTAACTGAGATGGTGCGACTTTACGCAATAAGTGGTGATAGTGTGAAGCAAGCTATTGAAATGTTCCCAAATCGGAGTTTACGCGGAGGAGGTGAACAGTGTCGAAGTGTTGTATGAGAGGATTATCTCAGCATTTTATACTGCGAGACAAAATGTGTTTGTGTTGTACAATTTAAAACAAAATTTACTATTCCGTGCTAGACTAAGCATTGTGGAAAACGGTGCACATTTTGAACACTTGCTCCGTAACACGTAAGTGTAAATAAACTGTAAATGACTAAAAAAATCAATCATTGTAAATAATTTGATTTCACATCTTTAACTATGCCAAAAACCTCAATTCTTATTAAATGGTAACTAGTTACTAAATTTAAACTTATCTTTTTTACTACGTAAAACATTTCGATGATAGTGCAAGTAAAAAATAATTAACATAAGCTATAACGTAAATGTGAAATCATTGTAATTGTTGCTGTCTCACTAGTGCTGAGTGAGACAGCAACAATTACGCTTGGTAGTATTCCCATTGCACTCGAAATCAAGCGTAAAGGGAATCGGTTTATTCCTATGTACACTTCAAAACACACTTGTTGATTTATTTTTTGTTATATATACTATATATATATACTATAATTTTATTTTAGTCTATGTTAAGTTGTAACATGATTTACTATGACATGTATGAATATGTCTCACTTTCAAATATACAGCCTGTATAACCAGAAATAGAGACGAGATAAGGGCCAATGGATGGATGGCCCTTATTTTCCTGGCAACGCATCAGTCAAATGGTACTAATATCACCTTTAAATATTAACTCTCGTTTGCGCTGAAATCACAAATTAGAAAGCTGAAATAGTACAGCGCCAACAACTGACCTGTGTCTAAGTCTCCGTATTCTATATTTATTGTAATAAAGATAATCCTCTAACTATGCGGCGGCGGCTGTTCCATTCGGTGGTGTGGGAAAAACAGCAAAATATCTAATTACAAAACAAACGGAATCACATTTCTTTGGTGATTTGATTGAATTATGTAATTTTTCAATTTTCGGCCATTATAGCAAAGCTCAACTTAAACTGGTCGATATGAAGTGAAACAATTGACGACACCCATCAATTGTTTGGAATTCGGGCTGGCCAATCGGAGCGCAGATTGATTTGGCAGAATAGGTTTCAAACAAATTGAATGATATTTCATCTCTATTTCTGGTTATATACTTGATGGCTTTTATAGAAAAACCGTTAACTGGCATTAAATCAACCTCGTCAATGTCAAAAAGGTAGTTTTAAGAAAAACCGGTACAAATGATTGTTTTTTGGTTTTTTGAAATTGTTGTAGTTAATAATAATTTTTAAAATTAAAAAAAATAATTGTAAATTAACTCAAAGTAAAAATAAATCTTATTATTATTATTAATATGGAAAAAATAAACCTAACTGAAAAAGCCAATATTTTCGTGAAGAAAGTGAAAATAAAATTGTTTTTTAAGACCCCTAACCTTTCCTTCTTTATTAGTGATATCCAAAAGATCTCAATTCTTAATGAATGTTATTTGCTGGAAGTTTTCATTGTAGTTTTATTTGGCAAAGTTTGACAGCTACTCTTCTAATTTCGATTACTTTCAAACTTTTCAAGTTCCAGTCACTAGAATCTAGTTCAAGTTAATTGTAAACAACAAGATACATAGCTTTATTTTACTATGGTAAGTTCTATATATGTGTGTTTTTTAATTTTATTTATGAAATGATCAAAATCGTGCGCATGGAAACCCCGAGCCTGGAAGACCATGCATTCACTTTTTTCCACAGTATATAGCAAACCGTGACTGTAAGTATACTTTTCACAGATGCGAAGCAGCTTCGACAAGCCGCAGACAGAAGCGCTCAGCAGCACCATATTGTCCTCGTAGCTAATATTATTAAGACAGACTCCACTAATATGACAGCCGATATGCGTCCTGCTGAGCTCCTCTATCAGCGCATTCACGTACAGATTGAGAGCGTAGGTGAAGTTAACCCCTCTTGCCGCACCCAGCACTGCAACCTGTACGGAACCGGATAGGCCCCCGACCATCTTACAACGTTGACCTGGTTCCGATATCAATACTCAAAAATACGTATAACTTCCCCTGGAACAGAAATCACCTGCAGTTTTTTCCATAGAATGTCGTAACAGACCAGATCATACGCCTTCGTAAGATCGAGGAAACAGGCAAAAACGGGTGTGCTCTTGTCAGTATAATACTTGAGAGTTTGCTTTAAACACAACACGGCTGTTTCTGTGGAGAATTCAGACTTGAAACCAAATTGGTTATCATGTATATGCAGATATTTGTGCAGCTCATTGTTAAGCAAACTGTCAAGTACTTTTGTAACTACAGTGGCCAATGAGATGGGTCGATAATTACTTTTGTCACTAATGTCACCGTTCCTGTTCTTAACTATCGGCACCACCGCAGTCCTCATCATCTGAGCAGGTAGGTAGGAGTGTCCCAAACACATAGAATAAAATACCGCCAACACCTTGGGCAAATGGCAACCTGCATATTTCAGGTGCTCAAAGCTAAGGGCATGGTGACCAGGAGAGTTGCCTCGTTTTATAGTTTGATTGACATCTTCTGCCAAAAAGCGGACGACTCCAAGCAGCTACAACCACACCACCATCCACATCACCACTACAACCAGCATCACACACAGATTATGACGGTCCCAATGGTGACTTCACAGTAAAGTGGTCCCTAAACACATCCGCCAAGCCCGTCAGATCGCTTATACCTTACCTTACCGGTACGCCTGGTTTCAATAGCAAAGTTTGTTGGTCGATTTCCAAAAGCTAGGAAAGTCGTGTCTGGAATGATGGGATGCTAAGATATCCATTTTAATTTGTTCACTAAGTTTTTGATACCGACGTAACTGAGATTTAAAAACCTCCAACTTGTCTGCATCTCATTCCAAACACGACCCCCACGAGGCCTCCCGTATATCACCCATAACTCAAAATAGTGCCTAGCTTCTTCTTCTTTAGATAAAAGAGTTTGACAAATAACCTATTATTTTTTATATCCAGGAATTTACCAATTAGGCTTGCGTTGCAGCATGTTAACCAAGCCGTGAATTTTGTGGGAAGTGAATATTGTAACCCGACCTTGGGGAGATGATTACTGAGCACTTTTATTGGAAGATTTGCTTATTTACAGCACATTCTGTGGAAGATATGATAGACTCAGTGGCATTGTAGCAACCTCGATGAAAGCAGATCTGTTTGTTATTAGGAACCGAGTTTTCATTCATTATCTTTACATTGTACTGATTTCTTAGAAATTGATTGCACTGTACAGGTAACAGACAAGTACTTATATTCGTGATTTTGCAATCCAGCTTTATGGCGACACTTCACACGGCGACTTGTAATCGCTATTGGGCGCTTGATGTACCTACTCGGAGAAATATTTGACATACAGACAAACATGCAGACACTGACAAATGTAATCGTCTACACATGGAGCCAAATAAGGAGTTAAAATAATGAATATAATCTTAGTTTACTTGCGTATTTGCCTATTTGTTTGATGTGCGTCGTAAAACCGACCAACGCGCGGTAACGCGAGTTTGGTGTTTGCCGTATTTGTCGAATATGCAAACAAGGCAAATACCTTGTCACACATGTTATCTTATCATGGTGATTGTTTGCCAAATATATCAAATACGCAATTACAAATAGCCATCTGTAATGCCACCATTAGAAGTAAACTCTTCAAGATGATACTTAAATGCGTCAACGGTAAGGCGTTAAGTCTAATGTTATGTAATTTACAACCGGAAGAATATTCCGATTGTTAGTTACAGTTAAAAATAAAAACTAAAGGGAAATTTTATAAAACAACTGTCAGCAAGCACAAACTACATACAGCGAAAATGAAAATGTTGCGCTGGGCAGGTGGTGTAACGCCATTAGACAAAGACCTGAATGAGTACATCACAGGATCATTTTAAAAAAGAGAACCGACTACGCTGTTACGGCCATATGAGCAGGAGTTACTACGATGGAGTTTTGTTGGTGTAACAACCAACGACAACCCAGGACAGAGCATTCCAAGGAGCCCCGACCCCAAATAAAAAAGGGAAAAGGTACGTTACAGTTAATATTTGCTTTTATTAGAAACGGCACTTTTCTAACTATAATTAAAGGTTACTGGGTGGGTAAGTGGGAAGTACTGCCACTTTGCCTATTTCTGCTGCCAAGCAGTAATGTCAGCTTTACTGTGTTCCTATTTTGAAGGGGAGTGCTGGTGAAGTTACAGGCACATGAGACTTGTCAACTTATGTCTCAGAGTGACGGGCGCAGTGGTAGTGCCTCTCCATTTTTTTGCAATTTAAAGTTCCGAGTGGCAATGCTATGGACAGGCGTGTAGCTTACCTTAAGGCGCACGACTTGTCCGTCCTGTCACTTGATATTATAAAAAAAATATGCCTAGAGAAATCACGTGAACGCTATTAAAATAAAACATTTCAACGCGATATGGCGTTGGGTATTTCCACATGTACTACAGGTTTTTTTAATTAGAAAAGTACTTTAACATACTCTGCGTTATACTTCGGACTGGAAACGTTTCGATACATAAGAGTCATAGAGTTCATTTAAATCTGTGGTGTAGAACTATACGTGTACGTAAGGCCACACACTTAAGTATACAAACAGTCAATCAAATGTAAATCCATGTAAACACAAAGCGACATTATTTAATAGCAGTAAAGTTTACTTTTCATTGCGATTTTCAACTTTCGTGTACCAGTTGTGTAGTCTTCCGTACAGTAGTAATCAGTGTAAACAATATATCAAGCTATCAAGTTTACGTCACGACATATAATCTTGCTTTAGGACATTTAATCAATTTAATTTGCACCTTGCTACGCCTTATTCCATGAAATAAGCGTAATTAAGAAATATATTCCAAAATAAAATTTATATTCTCAAAACGAATTAGTGAACGAAACTGGAATGACAGTAACTAAAATTTTAGTGTTGGTGAGTATTTCGTAATGTTTAATTAATTATTATATATATGCTATGTTTTAATGGTCGTCAAAGTTTATACAGTTCTTAAAATATAATGAATGATTGTTGGATTGTTTTCCTTGTAGGTTATAGCCTTTAGTGTTATTTATTCCACTGTAAGTCTTAAAAGGCAAAGGAAATTACAGTCTAATGTGCGAAATAATAAGAAAAACTCAGCAAAGGAATTAACTTTAGAAGTCAAATGGCCAAAGCACTCTATCAATAAGATAAAAACATTAAAATTAGCAGATGTTAGCGTCAAGACAGCCCTGAGTAAAGTTACTCGAGGAATCCTCAACGATCACTGTCCAGAAGGTATTAACTGCATGGGGAAGCCCATGACTGACGCTGTCAATAAAGTACTAAATACTATATTTGCTGCAAGGGTGGGTAATACTGGTAGTACTGGTTACAAAAGTCATGAAATAAGTGATAACAAACAACACAATAATAAACTAAAACTAGATGATAACATGTTTAAAATGGAAGAAGAAGATGAAGAAAATGGTAGCGACGATGAACAACTAAATTCAAGTAAAAATGTAAAAAGTAAATTGAAACTGAACAACAGCATATTCAAACTCAAAGATAAAGAGGACAATCAGGTTGGTAGTGACGATAAACAAATCCATAAAATTAATATGGATACATATAAAGTAAAACTGCACAATAACACGCTTAAACCGGAAGATAAAGAGAATAGGAATAAACGCGATAAAACTGAACATCAAGACGACAAAGAGACTAACAAGTACGATTATGGTAATATTACTCAGATGGAGATCCAGCATCCAAATCCAATTGCAAGTTTCAATGCTGCTAATAAAAATGACGATGAAATGGTAGAAAATATTGAGAAAAAAGGGCCAACGTCTAACGGCGTCGATTATTCTTTGTTTGGCAGTAATACAATTGTTTTGCGTTGAGAAAAATTTCAGGTTATTATAATATTTAGAGCAAACCTAAGTGTCTAAATATTAGTTATTAAAGCCAATGTAGTATTCAATGGTAGATATTGCATACTACCAATTAAACGTAAACAAAACAACCGAGCGATCGGCGTTGCGCTGGCCGTAGAATAGCTTCCCCTTCCGTGCCGCCCGCGCATCTTTCGTCGCAACCTGACTCTTACCGATCGAGTTGTATAATTTTATTTGTCACGTAATTAAGTCACCACACCATAAGTGCACACAGTAGGTATATTTATATATTTTTAATATATTTATTTACTTTTACGATCTATAATTAACACGACACACACATCCATCACTCATCTCTGTTCAGGGCTCATTGAAAACCAGTGCCACAGTCAATTATGGCTGTGGTTTATACTGAATGAAGTCCTTCTGCATACGCCACAACGACATTCGTACAAATGACAGTACAAAATTTTTACTCATTATATTTATTATTTTGGTTTTTTTACTGTTTTGTCGTATCCTATGTTGTTTTTTTTTTTGTATTTTTTATTTTGATAATGAATTCTTTTTATTTTGTTTTGCTTGTCTAAGTGTTATCAATATTTTTTTGTATCTATGTGTTCTGGCGTTGCAATAAATGCCTATTCTATTCAATTGCTGTTCTATATTTTAATAATCATTGAAAATTATGTAAAAAAAAATATCCTCAAATCTACTTCTGTTTACAATTCGCAAACATAAGTACAAATATAGCAGATAATTCTTATGTCGTGGAAAAAATGTGAAGTTTAGTGTGCGTTGGTCTAAAACCTTTCAAACTTATCAACTCTAACAACATTTCTAAGATAACCCCGGTGCTGTCGATACGTCTGCGCACAGATTTTTATCATTCATTTGCAATATTTATTATAAATTCTAAAACTCACCTGATGTCCGTTTGGTATGAAGTTGCCTTGCAAAATTATTTTTGACTCGTGATGCATAGTTATATTTCTTACTCAATAATTAATACGCCAAAATCATTTGATTTTAACGAAGCTCTTGGAACTCTAGCAGACATCTTCGTTGCATGCGTTAGCTATATTAGCGAGAACAGGTTCTCGTGATTCAATTTTAACATGAAGACCTGAAACGTCGGCTTGTGCAAAGTGACTAACTTTTATTATGTTTAGCATCGAAAGTATTATGTCCTCTCAATTTGTTGTTTATTATTTTGAACTCATCTTCTTTAAGAAAGTTACCGCCTGAAAATTTCTTCGTGATTATTTTTGGCGAACAACATTTCGATTTCATTAACTCTGGCGTATTTTTTATTTTCTTCGCGATATCGTAGTAAAGTATTTCTTTTTACTTCTGGCTACAATTTTTAGGTATCAATGCGTTAAATAAGGAAACAATAAAATTAATTTGAAGCTGTAAATAGTATAATGGAAGATCAATTCTTTCAGCAACGTGAACGATGTAAAAAACTGTAAAGTGTGCTTTCCTACAGTTATGTTATTCTCGACATTTTATGGTCCGATGTGTGGTCTTCTTTACAATCGTACTTACTTATTCTGTGTAAATAATACACAACTAGCTATCAAGCCCACGTCACGTCATGTAATCGCACTTTACAAAATTAATGAAGTTAAGATTACTTATTGGTAAGTTTTAATCCATGAAATAAGCCAAATTAAGAAAAACAAAATCCATAATCAAGTTTCAATATTTCAGAACTGGTCAGTAAACGAAGATGGCAGTAACTAATATTTTAACGTTGGTGAGTTTTTCCATAACGTTTAGATCTTTATTACATTACTTAATGTAAAGTAGCTAGCTGCTACCTAGTTAGCACAGTTACCTATGATGTTAATGGTTTTCACCGTTTGAATACTTTGATTAATAGTATAGATGTTGAATTTTTTCCTTGCAGGTCCTCAGTGTTATTATTACGAGTACAAGCGTAAAGCTTCGATCAAAAGATTTAGCTGAGCAATGGCCAAAGGAGTCTACTAATAGAATAAAAACTTCTAACGTAACAACTGACAATTTAAATCCTATATTGAGTCAAATTACTCGTGGAGTCATCGATGTCAACTGTCCAGAAGGAATAAACTGCACGGGGGAGTCGATGACCAGCGCTTTTGACAGAATTCTTAATATATTGGCTACAGGAGTGGGTAGAAACGGTAGTATTGGGTACAAAAGTGTTCAAAAAAGCGAAATTAAACAACAAAATTTTCATTTGAAACTGGATGATAACTTGTTTGAACTGAAAGATAAAGAGTTTAAACAAGCGGTGAACGATAAAACTGAAAATAAAAATAACAAAGAAAGCAAGAAATACAATAATGACAACACAATTGAGATGGAGATCAAGAATCCAACTCTTACTGAAAATGTTAATGTATCTAATGAAAGTGAAGACGAAATGGAACAAAGTAGCGAGGAAAAAGAATCAACGACTAACGGCGTTGAATATTTTGTGTTTGGCGGCAATAAAATTGTAGCTTTAAATTGAGAAAAGTAATAATTTGGACAAAACCTAACAGCCAAAATATTACTTTATTATATCCCTGCGCAAACTGAGTATCTACTTTTCAATAGTATATGTTGCATAATATTGTTGTTTTCACATTTGCTCAAAATAGTTACAAGTTACAAATTTACCAAACCACTTCTTGGGAATCGCCGAAAATTATATTAATCGTGTCCCTAAGACGCGCATTTATATAACTCTAGTAAGTAGCGGTAATTCTACAAACGTAGTCGAAATATAAATGTTGTAGAAAAATATGATGTGGAGTTGATTTCAGTATTTTTCACATAGCAATGCTGATGACCACGCCTCAAAGACAATCGCGCCATTAACGGTGCGTTTGGGCATGGACTTATCAATCATTGGCAATATTTATTATAAATACCAAAACTCACCTGATATCCGTTTGATATGGAGTTGTGTTGCAAAATTGTTTCCCATTTGAGAGACATAGCTGTCTTTCTTACTCGATAATTGTATGCTGAAACCATCCGACTCTAATGAAGCTCTCGGAGCCCTGGCAGCTTGGACAGCTTTGTTGCATACTGGTGTAGGAGCTACTTTCGCTAGAGCAGCTTCTTGAGATCCGGTACTGTCGCGGCGACGACTTTTGTGGTCCAGGAGCATACTCGGTGTACACCCCATGGTTTTACATTGGCACTACACTTTTGGCACTCACACTAACACTTGCCTGCATTTTTTTATCTGTAACAATAAGAGATATCAAGTTACTAAGTTTATTAGTAGTAGTAAGAAATATTAACATTCTTACATCTAATCTGAAGAAGTTTTTACACAATGAAAGATCTGATGAAAGGAATTGCTATACCTCAAAAGAAAACTCATGGACATGCACATTCTCCCTGTCACTTACAGAGCTCAAACTTAGTCTTTGATGAACCGTCAGACGTTCGCACTCGAGTAACTTTAAAGTAAAATTGTCAGGCGCGGTACTCAACAGTATACGAGTACTGCGCTCCAAAACACAAATCGTTGAGGTTTGGTCAAAAAGTCGCTAGCCTGAAAGGAAACTGGGCCGGACGCATCTACCGTATGTCAAGCGAGCTATGGGCAAAGATCACCATAGAGTGGATCTCACCAAAGGCAAAACGGAGACGTGAAAGACCCAGAAGGAGATGGCGTGAGGTACATGCTCATATGAGTTCTTAGCCTGTGACGGCGTTAAATCGCGTTGAGTGGAGAAAGGGAAGGAGGTCTTTGCCCTGCTGTGGGGTAGTAACGGCTGAAAAATTAAATGAGATCTAAGTTAATCTAATCTGTCTATTGTAGTGTGCCTTAGCACAATTCGTCGAAGGCTTACGGGAAACAAGACTCTAACAAAAATAGTAATCGAATGTAACTCATTGGGTATAATCGAGAATGAATGGGCCTTTTTGTTAAACTGCTACAAGAATGTCTCTTCGAATATTTTCGAGCTATCTAATTCACATTTAATTTCTTTACGATCCGATAAGACTGAATGATAATAATGTGTTACCAGACCCAAGGTGGCCACAAATCCTTTTATATTTATTTTTAATGTTATTACCTCAATCATGCCCTGTTTGGAGCCGTTCTACCTATGCAAAATTAGTGGTTACAGCCTTAAATGAGACTTGTCGGATCATAACTGGCTGTCTTAAGCCGACCCCGGTAAGATTGCTGTACCCACTAGCTGGCATAGCGCCGCCAAACATCCGCAGAAATGTGGTGGCATCTTGCGAAAGAGCAAAAATGGCCATCGACCACAGACATATATCTAGATCACAGACCACATAGATAGAGGCCGCAAGTACAGCTATTTGTATGAAAACCAAGCGTGGCACATTTTTTGTACCCACTATAACGTCACAAGAACTATTTAGTGATGAAAACCTCCTTCCGGTCGCTCTAAATCGATTGATTGAACGGAATACGCGTAAACGCGCGTATTCCATTCAATTAATCGATTCTCCATAGAATAATTTTTGTTCAAGTATTTGTTGATTACAAGTAGTCGTAGTATTAATATAGTAGAAAAATACTAGAATAAGACGGTTTAGTCCTTTATTTAATTGTTTTTTAAAAATGTTGATTACTTAAAAAATACTTAATTACTTTAATTTTTAGTCGTTACTTCTAATATTAAAATTATTGTCCTTCCAATAAAATGAGCGTATTATATAACATCTTTTTGTAATAGATCTTATCGATTAACTTAAATAATGAAAACGCACGTCATTATATGAATTTGCGACAGTCTTAGTTAATTTTACTAGATGGTTTACTGTGGGTAATTGATCAAATTTATGAATGGCAAGACAAATGAAAATGTTACTACTGACTGTTACATAATGACGGCTTCGTGTGAAATTTTTGTGATTTGTTTATTATTTCTCGGATTTCTAACTCTGCTACTCTGCATATTTGGATAGCATCTTAGGTGGGATGAACTAGACCACCTTCGTCCTCGAAAACAACGACTCAAACATATGACCAACTCCAGGTTTTTGTAAGAACAGCGCACTGTTAATTCTTTGCATTATATATTTTTTTGTATTACTCGTACTACATATTCGGCGATGTATGTAATTATTTTTTTAACTGCCTCCGTGGCCGAACGATTACCATGCCGGACTGCCACGCAGAGGTCTCAGGTTCGATTCCCGGGCCGGGAGAAATAGTTGTATGGCCTACAATTATTTCTCTCGTGAGTTTGGGTATAATTTGTGGTTGTCTATGTGTGTGTCCATGGCACCCGCGACACAGGGTTTCCCTAGTGCGGGGCTATGTTGAGTGTGTGCGTTATTTATTTGCTCATTATGTTCGGACATTCGAGGCAATGTGCTGCAAAAATTATCGCAATTACAGATACTACTGAATAGATACTACAAAACTGAAAAAAAAACGAAAAATTACTAAAACTAAACGTTATAACAAAAGAGTTATAGAATATTTTTATAATATTGCTAAGGTCATAATAATTTTTGTCCCTTTGTTTTTAAAATCGACCAGAATCGAGAACAGTGTTGCCTAACGTATACATCACTAAATGTTAAATTTGGCCAAACCGGCCGTACATGCGGCGTCTATTTAGATATGCCTGTGCCATCGATACTCGGCACCCTGTGCACGATCACTTCACAGTGCAACAGACACTGAGGAGCCGGAAAAGTTTTGTCAAATGTGTCGATCATCTGAGCATTGAGCCGGTTCAGGCGAGGTAGGTAATCTTTGGCGCATAGGAATACCATCTACGTTTGTCCCGCCTTCCGAGAGTCTTCCTCTTGGACACGAATCGCCATGGCCGATCTGGAGGTCTTTAAATAGACTTCGAACTCAGGTTGATTGGAGTACCTAAGGAAAATTGGTTCAGGTCCCCACCTGAACAAACTGGAATTTTCGGACGGTTCTAACCTGGACTACTTGTGCGGTGCGACTCAAACGATGGCACACCTTATATCGTGCCCTGCGTGCCCTAACACTTGCACGCTTGAGGATTTAATGGAGGTTGCTAGTGACGCGGTTGGCTGTGTGCTGATTGTACAAGTTCAGCATTCAACTTTTAATAATTAGTTTTGGGGAATCCTGTGAGGCCTGCGGTTAAACATCAGGGTTTTTTATGTATACGTATCGTTTTAAAATAATAATATTTAACTTATATAGTCCCACTTTTGAGCACAGGCCTTCTCTCACAACGAGCGGCCTATGATAGTTCTCACGTGGACTCCAAGCGAATTGGAAACTTCACACACATCATTAAATTGTTTCACAAGTGTGTGCAGGTTTCACAAGAAAGCTTTTCCATTTCAAATGAAATTTCGTACATAAATTCCGAAAGACTCAAAAGGTGCAAGCCCGGAACACACGACCCTCTGCTTGGAGGCCGGTAAGTCAAACCATCAGGCTGCCATGGCTTCGCCACCATTACCACCGTTTAAAAAAAAGTGAAAAAAAAAAACTGAAGTCTATCTTTAGCCCCATGTAAAAATTAAACCTTTGTAATAATCGAAACAAAAACAATATATACATACATAGGTGTCGAACTTGGCGCCATTAAAAGAAATAGCGGTGAACCCTTTCTTGCGGAAGTCCTCAAATTCCTATTGTTAAGTTCTACTTAATCATCCCTCGATCCTTTGTCAAGTAAATCTCGCATCTTATTGACTTCAGGAACATATGGCGTATATATGAAGACGGTGAAAATTCCATTTCAAATGGAACCTTCCTATGAAGACCTAATTTTGTAGAGTCGTGCAAAAATATGTATAATAAAATAATTGGTCAATGAGTAAAATTCTTTTGGTAAGATAGGTTACCTATTTGATAGGTGATATTTTTGCACGACTCTAGAAAATTAGATCTTCGATTACATTTTCCTCTTATTTATACTAGTTTTAAGTGTCTTCCCCAGAGGAAATCAGGAATTTATTATTACCCCCAATAAGTGAAAGCAAATGTCGCAAGATTGAGAAAATTACGAATGCAATATAATATAATACAATAAAGCTTGCTTGCTTTGAAAAAGCAATAATTACGAATATAATACAATAAAGCAATCCTCAAACTGGATTGCACCAAAGTGCTGAATTATATAGCACAATATTTTCTATCTTTAAAAAACTGGTGCTCAGTAGTGACACGTATAAAATTGAAGGTTCAATCAGTATATCTACTAAGTAACTACTGTACAGATACCACTTCTAAGAAAAGTTGAAAATACCTGACACTTAATTTAATAAAACCACTACATTGTAACATTATATTACGTCATATTGTCACCAATGTTGGAAGATCTTTCCTTATAGGCGATGCGAGCAGCGATAAAATAAAAAGAATGCTCTATATTGTTTTAAATTCCCGAGTCTTACAAAAACAATGTTTTTGCACATAATTTTCAAGAAAATGAGTTTACTTAAAAGACGTTAAAGGTAAAATTTGCTTCCTTGAAGTAGCCATTTATTTTCATCATTTTAATAGTATTCATTTTGTACATCAAATAAATGTCAGAGATCAACATTAAGCGGTCGAAGTAATCCTTAGAAGGAAGCTCCCTAAATTGACATCCCTGGATCACAGATAATCCTTGACAATGAAAAAAGTTTTCAAACCTCATATTGTTAAGTTTCATTTCCGCTTACAATGTTTAGGCAATAATTCCGAGCTTAACATCAAGTTAAGGGGAATTAGCTAAGTAAGGTTGGAAGTTTTTTAATTAAGGCGAAGCTTAGACCACCGTTGTTGTGTTTGTTACCCAATTATACCAATACAACTTATATCAGATAATCTTCTTATTCTCCGTGATCATAAAAAGTGACTAATTCGACAGTCTTGCGATGTGGTAACTTTCGCAAGTACGAATTTGTAAATGTTTGCATTTGCGCCTTATGTGCTCTGTTGTGTAAGGGCGAGTTCCCATTATGTCGTGATGACAGTTAGTTGTATAGAATAAAGTGTTGTGGCTTGTATATTTAAATGAAGTTGTTCACACATAGAACAACAAGATTAACTGTCATTCACGACTTTTATGACGTTACGACGACAAGCTGTCGAGGCAATGGGAACAGCTAGCTAGCTAACAACTAGACAATTATCCGACGTTAAAAATGTGACGATAGATAATCGCAGCTTCAAACGATTCTGTCGTGCAAACGACAAGGCGGCTACCGTAAATTGTCGTCAGGATCTAGTGGGAACAGCTAGACCCGACAGTCACACAACTATAA